GTTCCAGGCACGGAGATAGTAAGGGGCCCCTTGGGCAGTGGGGGGAGGCAACCCCCAAGGTCCCGGCATCTGAGATGTTAACAGCAGGCATTGTGGTCCGGATGCGGCCACACTGGGGGTTGGAAGGAGAGGGGATGTTTGTTTTTGCAGAGGGAGGGTGACGCGAGTCAGCATCTCCCGCTCCCACGCACGGGGCCAGGATGGCGGGCAGCCCGAAAGGGCTTGGCATGCCCTGGATTTTGGGTTCTCCCTTCTGCAACCCCAATGCTGGGCAGGGCTGCTGGCCCAGGCTGCTTCCTCTCCCAGGGACATGGGGTTTTCCCCTGGTTCAACTTGGGGATCACCCGAAAACCCCCGTGTCAGAGAACTGGCACCCTGCGCATCCTGCCAGCATCCCTGCATAAGGCTTTTCCACAAAGTTTTGGCAGTGCCAGCCTGAGCAACAGTGCTGGGATCTCTGTGCCTGGAGCCCGGAGCCCAGAGCGGGGAAAGGGACCTCGGCAAGGGATGGGAGAGAGAAACTGCAAGCAGAAGCCAGGCAGGTGACTCACAGGAGGCAGAGGGCATATGCCCCCGAGACTGACTCGCTGTCCCGCACCAAGAAGCAGCCGTCTCGTCCAGCCTTGGCCAGCAGCTCCTCCGCCACCACCCGGCTGATGTCCCGGTGGTACCAGCTTGCTGCTGCCATCCTCCGAAGCGGCGGGACACCGGCTGCGCTGTGTCACTGTCCCAGCTCTGCATCCAGGCTCAGCAGCGGCTGCTGCCCATCAGCTGGCCCACGAGGTCAGTTGGGGAAGGTGAAAGTGGGGGTGGTGTGGGGGGGGCCAGTCCCCCAGTACCCGGGCGAGTTGCTGGTTGGAGGTCCCAGTGGGTGATGGGCAGCCACCGAGGCAATGCTCATGGGGACAGGGTACCCCGTGGCCAGGCAGTGTGGCAGGAGCAGGACCGGGGGGGCAGCTGGTGGAGGCTGATGGTCTGGACGCTCCTCATCACAGGAGGCTCCAGCCTGCAGAGAGGGGCAGATCAGAGAACAGATCTTTTCTGTGGGGGGATCCCCCGTGCTGCTGCCCCAGCCCCGGGGCCACCGTCCTGCTCCAGTGCACGGTGAGGACAGGCCGTGCTGGCGTCCCGGCAGCACATGGGGGCTCAGATCTCACCCGACACACTCACCGTCCCTCGCAGACACGGTGCAGGGCTCCTGCGGCTCTTGCGGGGTGCTGTGGGCAGCAAGCTGAGCTTTCAGTGTGCAGCCAAGCAGGAGCGGAGCTGCGATGCTGTCCCGGCCGCCCTGGGTTTCCTCCCGCGGGGCACGCCGGCAGCCCTGCCTGGCACACGCTGCCCGTCGGGGTGGCAGTGTGGGGTCAGGCAGCACCCACCCCAGTGCCCCCACTCCCTGGCCCCACTAGCCGGGCCCACCCGCTCGGTAGCCCGTGCCGCTCGTCTCGGCACCACGGTGGCCGCCCGCGCTCTTCCTCCTTCTCTGCGCTCTGCTCTCCCCACCGCCGGGACCAGGCTCGTCGCTCCTCCTCCCGCTCCAGCCCTGCTACGGGGGGAAGCCTGCGGCCACGCGGGGCTGAGCATGGCAGGGTACAGGCAGCAGCAGCCCTGGAGCAGGGGTTCAGCCTCCATCCCACTCCCTGCTGCTCATCTTCCCCAGGGGCAAGGGGCGATGGAGAGGGGGGAGCTCCATCCCCCAGGCAGGACCCCGAGGGAAGGGACTGCCAGCAGTGTGGGACAGCAGCAAGTCCCTGAAATGTGTTTGGGGTGGTGGGCAGGCAGGCAGTCTGTGGGCTGTGGCTGAGCTCCGCGCTCCTGGGGACCCTGCTGCCCGTGTTGGGGCTGAGCTCTGCTGTTTGCTGCCGGCTGCGCGCAGACGGAGGTGCTGCAGGCATCGGGTGGCTGAACAAGCCAGGCACCCACGATGGCATTCATGTCACCCCTTCTGTGCATGCCTTGCCTGCAGACAGAAGGGAAGCAGGGTTCAGGGGCTCCCAGGAAGGGGGTTGGGAAAAAGGGAGGCTTTTCCCAGCAGGACAGGGCTGCAAACAGCACTGGGGTTCCCCGCAGCTCCTGGATGCAGATCCAGAGGTTTTGCTCTTCGTGGCAAGGAGTGAGCGGGCCATGCGTGTGCGGCTGGCTAGAGCTGCACTAGGGTGATTAGCACCAATTAATTACAGATGAGCAGCAGCCACCATCTGCTGCCAGGGCACCCAGGAGCACCAGGGCAACTCCGGGGGGAGACAGGACAGCGGGTTCCTGCCACAGGAGGATGAGGATGGAGTGCCATGCAGAGCCATGCTCCCAGCTGTCTGCTGCCCTCGGCATCACCAGCCAACCCATACAGCCCTGAGCCCAATGCAAAGGGACCGTCCCCCAGCACTGTCTGCCCAAGCCCACTGGCACAGATGTGCCAAAAGCCCCTGCCAAGGCTTCCTCCTGGGCTCCTGGCCTTGAGAGGAACCTGTGGCCAGGGCCACTGAGAAGTCAGGCAGTTGGGTTGATTTTTGGCTGGTGGCTCTGGGCCACGTGGCAGTGGTTGTGTCTCTTACCAGTGCCCACCATGGGAACACACATGATGGTGGGTCTGTGCTGGAGACCCCCGTCCTGCCAGAGTCCCTCTCCTGCTGGTGCTGCTCCCTCCCATTACTTAACAGTGCAGCGATAATTCCCCACAGCTGCAGAGGCGCCTGGCTTCTGATTAATGCTGTCTGCACTGCTTAATCTGGATCAAGAGAGGAAGACCTGGAGCTCTGAGGAGCTTTTGAGAAATCAGCAGTGCCGGCTGCGCACGTTTACTTAAGGCGGCTGCGGTGTGCAGTGCTGGAGGCTGTGCTGGGATGTTGCCAGATGCACCGGCACCCGGAGAGCTCTGCCAGCCCCTGGGGACAGATGTATTTTGGAAGGCAAGGTGGGTTCACCAGTGCCAGCTTGCTGGGGTGCCCTGGCTCCCTTTGGAGGGCAGACCCTGCGGGTGAGGGCATCGAAGCAGGACAATGTGGGAAGCCCCACAGCCATTCCCCGGGGCGGCAGGACACTTCAGGACATGAGGAGCCAGGGATGAAACCAGGCGCCCCTGCACTCCACCAGCCCCACGTCCACCAGCGTCCTGCCCCAATGGAAGTGGCTGGCTGAGCTGTGCTTCACATAGTGTGTGGACCTGGAGGGATGGGTGGGATGAGGCAGATGAGAGGAGCCTTTGGCCACTTATTAAACAGGAAAAAGGAAGAAGCCCTCTCTCATTTCCCTATTATTTTTAACACAGTGCTGCATCCCCCAGCTTCCTTCCCCGGTGCTTGGTTCAGAGCACAGTGCAAGCGCGGGAAGGGATGTGGTCTATCCATCTCACCACTGTTTTCAGGAGGGGAAACATCTGCCCCCCCACCAGGGCAAGGTCTCTGTGGATGAATCCACCCAGTCGGGATCCAACTGAGCCAAAGCTGCCCATAATTAAACCAGCTCTCCTTCCTCACCACGTTCCACAGACCCTACGGCCACAGCCCTTGTGAACAGCACTGGTCTCAGTGGCCTTATTAAAAGCCTAATGAAGAGCTGCGGAGAGCTCAGGATCAGGTGCCTCAGGCATGGCACTGGGGGCAGCTGCTCTGCTGTCCCCCCCTGGCCAGGCAGTGCGTGTCCAGGAGGGGCTGCCTCCTCCTCCTCCTCTTCCACCCACCAGTGGGAAGGTCACAGTTCATGTGTCCCCCTGACCTTGGCAGAAATAGCATCTAGTAATCTGCAAACTAAGCAGCTCCCCTGTGTGCAATTAAAGAGATCACAAATCCTGGCTCTGGGTAACATGTTCTGACAGCTAAAGCCCTGGGCAGTGGGACTGGTGGGGCTGGCGTGCTGTGGTGGCTCCCAGTGGCTCCCAGTGGCCCGCAGGGCTGGGAGCACAGGTGGATTGTGTTTGGGAGGCGTTGGTACCCAGGTGATGAAGGTCGTTGAGCTGACCGAGAGTGCTGGGAGAAGGCTCCTGGCAGCTCTGTGATGGAGGCACAGCAGTGAGCAGGGACATCCTGACCTTAGTGCTGAGCTCTGGGGGCTGAGCCAGGACCAAGTGCATGCTCAAAGCAAAGGGTCTGGCTGAGCAAGCAAGGGCTTGAGGGATGCTGGAGGTGAAGATGAGCGGGGCCTTGCTGGAGAAGTTTACAGGCTGCCCTCGGGTCTGTGCCCTGTCCCTAGGGCCAGCGTCCACGGGAGCATCCTGCAGCCACCCCTGCGGGAAGGGGATCCCGGGTGCTGGCCCTGGCTGAGGAAGGACAGAAATAGGAAGCGCTTCTCTCCCGGCTAGCCATAAGGCAAATCCACCCTGTGCTTTCAACAGTTTTCTATTTGCAGCAGCACACCTTGAATTAATGATGTGCTAATCAGGTCAGGTAAGGCCAGCCTGCAGCGTTATGAAGTGATGCAGGGCTGAACAGATTGCCCAGAGTGCGGGGGGAAGGTGACAAATCCCTGTCCCACCACCAAGGGGTGGCTCACCCTTCCCTGATGCTTCAGGGGGAGCAAAGCCTGGCATTGGAGCTGCCACTGCAGCCCCAAGCCTCGCATGAGCCTTCACTCCATCATACGTCTGTGTCCCTGTGGCAAGGGTGTCCCACGTGCCCTGGACCACAGCAGGTCAACTCTAGGTGATTGGCCACATGGGCATGCTGGCCACGCAAGAGGCGGCCTGTGACATCCAGCCATCCAGCAAAGTGTGCAAAGGTGGGATAAAACCCAGGAGGTCCCTCCCACCCCTCTGTTGTCTCCATCCACCCTCGTGTCCAGGGCTGGCCCAGCTCCGCTTGCCATGGGAGCAGCTGTAGAGAGCCCCCGTGGGAATCTGTGCCCCTGCCCATGTCTCCACAGAGCTTCCACCTCAATTACCATCACCTTACTCCTAAGCCCACTTTGCCAATCTCCGTAAGCTGCTTTCTCAGGGCTCTGGCAGCAGCTGTATTTATAGCCCACTCTTACTCATGAAGCGTCTCCCCGGTTAATAAACTAATAGGATTCTTCCCGAAAGTATCTCTTCCACTGTGCGCACGCACACACACACACACTGCACATCTTCAGCCAAAGCCGAGCAGGAAAGATCAGATGCCAGGGGAGGGACTGCTGGCGGTGGGTATAAGAAGCAGCAGGACTGGGAGCAGCCTGTAGTGACTGGGTGGCAGCGGGACGTGCTGGGAGGGGAAGAGGAGAGCATCTGTCTGTCCATCCACCTACCAGGTGAGTGCTGCCTGCTCTGCTACCTGGGCCCTGTCAGTGATTTGGGGCACAGATTCTGCTGTTCTATAAAACACTTGGAGGCAGGGACATTGGTGCCAGACTGTGGCTGGAAGGAAGGTGCTTTGGGGCTGAAAGCAGAAAAATGTGGCCAAAAGGATTTCAGTGGGGCTGAGGCAGAGGGCAAGGGCGGAGGGGCTGATAGCAGTGTGGGAGAGCTTAGCCAAGTCAGGAGGGGTCCAAATCCCCTCTCTGGGGCTTGGGTGGGAGATGCAGAAGAGGAGTTCAGCTCTTTACTCCTGCCTTTCATCACCTCATTCTCAATTCCCAGGCTCTGGAGAGAGAGGAGCCCACAGCACTACTCTGCTCTCACTCTCTTTGCACCTTCTCTTGCTGCTGCCCAAGAAAACCTGCAGGTGAGGATGCCCGAGCTTCACATCCCACAGCACCTGAAGGCATCAAAGACCCCGTGTTTGAGACTAATCCTTTGTTTTCCCATGGGGAAGAGGATCATCTCCTGCCCCCATATCAATTTCTTCTTTCTCTCCAGCATCCCTGAGGTTGTGTAAAGAGGCAACTCTGCCCACATGCCCCCGAGGCTTAAAACCCTGCGTGGGCTTAAGCTCTGCTAATGTCAGAGCTGCCTAACTTTAAGAACCTGAGCTCATCTCATCTAATCTCCTGGCGAATCATCTGGTGATCGGTGCGATATTTACGGTTTAATTCTGGATACGAGCCTTGAGCAAGCAAAACACAGGCAGCGCAGTTGGGCAGGGCTGGGCAGCGTGGGGATCAAGGGGCCGTGGGTCAGGGCTGTGCACCCCGAGACCCCACTGCCCACAGGGTGGTTAAGCTGCCCTCAACCTTTCTGCCTGTGGTTTCCTTGCTCTCCCATGAGTGACAGAACAAAATGAGCCCATTCCTGCCGTTAAGCCTTGACAGCCAATTTCCTGCAGACAAGAAAAAGTCATAAAATTGAAACTCTGTAAGCTCTTTTGTTCATTTTCTTGCCTTTCCCAGCCTTGAACTCACTCCCTTGGGAGTCACCCCTGTGCTTCCTATTTTCTGCAGCCTGCCTGCCTGGGGCGTCACTCTCCCTTCTCTTCCACCTCCTCTTCACCACACTTTTGGCCAGGGGCAAGTGGCTTCCTCTGCTCGGCTGCCCCACTGGGTCTCCAGCCACTACCATGTGCTTTGTGTGCAGCCCTGCAGCTGGGCAGCCCCAGCTGAACCCCAGGCATCCCCGCTCTGCAAAGGCAAAAGGCCCCGCAGTGCTGCAGCCCTGCAGTTCGTTGGGGCATGAACGATTTTGTTGCGATGGCCGGTGGCTGCCCATTTCCCACGACCTCACCCATCATTCCCCCTCCCCCTCTCCCCACAGATCCCTGCCTGTGTGGCTGCTGACCTAAAATGGCAGAAGGAGCAAAGTAAGTGGTGGTGGTTTGGGTTTTTTTTTTGGGGTGTTGTTTTGGTTGTTGTTGTTTGTTTGTTTGTTTTTTAATTGGGATAGAACCGGACACTGTGGGGCAGAAGCAAAGGGAGAAAATGAGCTCCCTGGCTCCCCCCACCCACTGCCCCCGTGGGCTGGTATGTGAGCTCGCTGTAGCAAGATGGAACAAGCCATCACGGGGCCAACAAAGCACCTTCTCTTTTCTTCTGCCTGTCGGTGTTTTCTCGCTTGCCTCTAAGACACGTCCTGCTAATGCATCCCCACCTCGACACTGACATGCATGTCAGGAGCATGACATCCCCTGGGGCAGCCAGATGGGGTGGGTTTGGCTCTGGATTTGCAGGACACCAAATTCCCCAAGGCCAGGACATCCCATGCACACTATGTTGTAGCTCTTGGAGATGCACCATGCTTGCAGGGAAGCCCTCACCCCCTTGCCCCAGGGAGACAAATGGCCACCCACTCACTCCCTGGCTTGGGAGTGGGCTGTGCCACCTCCTGCATCATCCAGAGTGTTCCCAACCCATCTGTCTGTGTTTCCTCCGCAGGGTGTTCAAGAAGACCAGCCCCAACAGCAAGGTGAGTCCATGCATGCAAAGTTGGGACCACGTGCCCCATCCCGGGGTGCGGGTCAGCCCAAGATGCTGTGCTGGGGCTCCTCAGGGGTGGCTCTGCCCATGGGACGGGATGCAGGCTGGGTTTCCCTTCCCTTTGAAATCTCCTGATTGACTCCCGCTACACCTGTCATGATGCCACTGCAGGGCTCAGTTTTCAAAATAGAAATTAGAAAAAAAATACCTATATGAACTTTTAAATGCAATGCCTGGTCCGACATGCGAACAGCAGGGTTAATGAGCCCCATGGCACAACCCAGGGCTTGAAAATTTTGGCCAATTCAATGGCAAACACTAACTTATTTCATTCTTCCCTTTCACCATGTGCTGCCTCCAGCTATCCATCTACCTGGGGAAGAGAGACTTTGTGGATCACGTGGAGTCAGTGGACCCCGTGGGTGAGTGGGACCATGCCCATCACGGACGGGGAAGCATGGGCAGCAAGTGGCCGGGGAGACTGGTCCCTGTGCTGCAGGCTGCTCACTCTGCTTCCTGCTGGAGTAGGAGCAAGGGCAGCTCCAGAGGAGCAAATGCCCTGTTTTCCTTATAGAAAAATGGTGGGGAAAGGGACAAAGTCTCTTTGCAAAACAACCTGGACACACTGCTGGTGTTGATGCTGGAAGAGGCATTGCTATCCCCCTGACCAGCAGCTCCCCTCAGTCACCTTCCCTTCTGATGCACAGATTATTTGAATTTAAAAAGCGCTGTATTTTTGCAAGGATCTTGCTCTGACTGAGCTCACCGGCCCTTCTTCTCTGTTTGTTTGCAGATGGCGTCTGCCTGATTGACCCGGAGTACCTAAAGGACAGAAAAGGTATTAATACAGAACACCCCACATTATAAGGCGAAGGGATGGAAACCAGTGCAAAGCTCACAAGCAACCTGAGACTGTAGTCAGGTTAAAGCGGCAACAGGTTGTCTACAGCTCATCGTACACAGGGCAATGGCAGCTGACCTGGAGAGGAAAGCTGCCTCTTTCGTCTCACCTCTTCTGCTTGGGTCACCGGCTCTGAAGCTACCCATGCCTTGCAGAAAGATGTGATGAATCTTGTTAACTGCATGTTTGAGGTCTGGGTCCTGATAACAGGGTAATATTTCTCCTACAGAGTTATTAAAGCAGTTTTTCTTTCTTTCTTCTTTTCTCAACCCCTTTCCCCCCATGTTTGCCCTTTATCTCACCCTTCCCCCAACCCTGGTCCTCTCCATTCCCATTCGGCTTCAGTGTACGTGTCGCTGACTTGTGCATTTCGCTATGGCCGAGATGACCTCGACGTTATCGGATTGACCTTCAGGAAGGACCTCTATGTCCTGACCACCCAGATCTTCCCGCCGGTGCCAGACCAGGCACCCAAAACCCTCACTTCTTTGCAGGAGAAGCTGCTGAAGAAGCTAGGGGAGAATGCTTACCCCTTCACCTTTGAGGTAGGGGCTGCTCAGCCCTTCCTGACCTCACACCTCCATGATGTGCACCAGAGCTCATCTCTGGGCATGCTCTTTATTTACTTTTTTCTGTCTTTCCATGTTCTGCCCAGATGGCCACCAACCTGCCCTGCTCAGTCACCCTCCAGCCAGGACCAGACGATGTGGGAAAGGTGAGCTGCTGTACCCTACATGTGTCCCCTGGGCCCGTTCCCCCAGGCAGGGGGTTGTGTGCCAAAAACGAGCTGATTCTCTCTCATGGGGACATGGCCTGTGGGATGAGGGTTGAGGAGGAAGGATGGCTGGAGCTGGGACCAGGATCTCTGGGGATGCAGTGGAGGAAGGAGCAGAATGAACCTAAACCTCAGGCAGCTCCTGAGACCCTCCTACTTAGTGACTGTACATGTCCCCCCAGGCCTGCGGTGTGGACTTTGAGGTCAAAGGATTTTGTGCTGAAAATCTGGAGGAGAAAATTCACAAGAGGTATTTGAAGGGGATCCCTTTCCTTCCCCCTGGCCCTAAAAACGAGCAGAGGGCTTTAGGATGGCCAGCTCCGGGGGTTGGGCTGAGGACCTGACATCAGCCTGTGCCACACTTGCACCGGGTACTTTGCCTGAAAGCGGGGCAGTGGTCCCCACGTCAGAGCCCACCACGTCCTAAGAGCAGGCTGCAGCTTGCATCCTTTGGTTAGAGGCACTGTGATGTCCCCGAAGACAGCTAACATGTCCCCCTCAAAGTCTGTGTTGACGCATCCCTGCCGGGGAGACTGGGGGTGACCACTTCTCACCCCGCAGGAACTCAGTGCGCCTCGTCATCCGCAAGATCCAGTTTGCACCCCTGAAGATGGGGCCACCCCCGAAGTCGGAGACAACCCGGCAGTTCATGATGTCTGACAAGCCCCTGCACCTCGAAGCCTCCCTGGATAAAGAGGTGAGTACAGGGGCCATCCCCTGCTCATGTCACCACGTGTCCCCAGGGACAGGGACTGGGATGCCCAGTCACATAACCGAGCCTCTTCCCACTGCAGATCTACTACCACGGAGACCCCATCAACGTAACCGTCAACATCAACAACACCACCAACAAGATTGTGAAAAAAATTAAGATCTCAGGTGAGAGGGGACAGGAGAGGCACATCCTGGCACCCACCGCATCCCAGACTCTTCACTGGAGATGGGCACCACGTGCCTGCGCCTCTGCCATGTCACCAATGCTGCTCCCTCTTGTCTCTCCTCAGTTAATCAGATCACAGATGTGGTCCTCTATTCGCTGGATAAATACATGAAGACTGTGTGCACCGAGGAGATAAAGTAAGTAAAAAGGGGCTGGGGGTGGCATGGCATCGTGGCCAGAGGGAGGAAGAGAAAGAAGGAGAAGGAAGAGAGGAGAGTGATGGGGAGAGGGGGTGGGGAAGATGTTTTTACAGCAGGCAGCAAAAATATCAGGGTTAGAAGAGCAGATGCAGAGGAAGCAGAAGAGAAGGAAGGCTGTGGACACCGTGGCCCCCAGCGCAAGCTGGTGTCGGCTGGGGAGGTCCCTGGGGGAGAGTGCACAGCTGCCCCCGCCGGCTGCTTCCTCTCCTCACTTTGCATCTCTGAGGCCAGACACAGCCCCTGCACCCCTGAGAACAAGGAGGGATGCAGCAAATGTGGGGGGTAGAAAAAAGAAGTGGTTGTATAAGGGAACGAAAGGAGGAAACAGGCCCAGGCAGCTGTGTGGGGAGGGCAGGGTGGAGAGGTCTGGGTCTGCCCAGGTGCCCGGCATGATGCTGAGCATCTCTGGTAGGTGCTGAGCACCCTTCAGGCTGGTGCTGACTCTGAGCTCTCCTCTCCCACCACTTCCAGCGAGAACGTGGCAGCCAACTCTACCTTCTCCAAAACATACTCCGTCACCCCCACGCTCCTGGCCAACCGTGAGAAGCGAGGCCTCGCTCTCGATGGCAAGCTCAAGCACGAGGACACCAACCTGGCCTCCAGCACCGTGTAAGAGCCGGGTGGGCTCTCCCTGCTCCCCACCACGGCTGGACCCATGCCTTCCCCTTCTCCAACAGCTTCCCGCTGCTCCAGACGCTCTGGGCTCCCACCAAGGGTCCCTCACACCTCCTGTGTCTGAGCCCATCCCATCCAGATGGAAAATGTAGATTTTATGAGACGGCCACAGTCCCACCTGTCCATCTCACAGGACAGACATAGCCCCCCAGTCCCAACCATCACCCAAAGCCCTGTATCCCTCTGCAGAGCTGCATCGGTGTCTCATCTCAGGAGTAAATCCCAGCTCAGGCAGCTCAAGTGGCCTCCAGAAACTCTGTGGCTTCGGCCAAGTGACATTCCCTCCACTCTTTTACTGTCACATTGTGTTGCCCTCTCCTGCTACACCCCTGTGAACCCCAATGAAACAGGGCATGGAAAGAGCCCCGGGAGCTGCCATGGGGGGAGTGGACAGGGCCTGCGAGCAGCACTGCCCACCTCACCACTCCACTCTGCCTTTCTCCTAGCCTGAGACCCGGCATGGACAAGGACGTGCTGGGCATCCTGGTGTCCTACAAAGTGAAGGTCAACCTGGTGGTGTCCCGAGGAGGGTGAGGCTCTGCAGGCATGGGAGTAGGGACTGTCTTGGGCCGTGCTGTGGGATCTTGTGCCACTGGGCAGATGATGAAGGGACTCATGCTGTGGATCCCATTGCCCCCTGCCCTGCTCCCCTGAGCTGTGGGGCATCTAGGCTCTGGGCTGCTCTGTGACTCCCACACCTCCATCCCCATCACCGCTGCCCTTCACCCCTATTATAAATCTTCTTCTACCTTATTATAAAACAAAGTCTAACACCTCCCCTCCTCTGCCTTGACTGATTTCTGTCCCTTCTCTCCCTGGGCTGCTGCAGCATCCTGGGGGATCTCACTTCCAGGTAAGGGGGGAGCTGCCTGCGGGGACGAGCCCAGTTGGGTGCTGGGTGGGTTTATTGAAATAAATGCTTTTCCTTCCAGCGACGTTGGTGTTGAGCTGCCTGTTATCCTGATGCACCCGAAGCCTGTGGACGGTAAGTGGCACCTGGGATGTTGCTGAAACATGGGGGAGGAAAAGGCAGAGCTCATTCTGAGGGGAACTGGTAAAAGCAACACCGATGCAGCTGCCTCTGTGCAAAGGGCCCTGCTTTGCCCCAGCAGCCCTGGCTGAGGGACAGGCAGAGCTGCTCCAGTTGCCCAGCAGCCACTCTCTGTCTGGGACCAGCCGTGGGAGCAGCTCTGCTCCCCATGGCGCCCCAGCTGCTGTCCATCCCAGAGTCTCACTTTCCAGAAAAACACCCGAGCATTAAGAAGACATGTTAATTGAAATGTGCTTTCTGTATTAACCTGCATGTGTCTCTCCCTCAATCCTTGCTTCCCTGTGCTTTGCTTATTGATGGACTACAGATAAGCCAAGGTAAAGAGATCACGGAATCATAGAATCACAGACTGGTTTGGGTTGGAAGAGACCTTAAAGACCATCTAGTCCCAGCCCCCCCACCACAGGCAGGGACACCTTCCCCCAGCCCAGGGGGCTCCCAGCCCCGTCCAACCTGGCCTTGAACCCTTCCAGGGAGGGGGCAGCCACAGCTTCTCTGGGCACCCTCTGCCAGTGCATCACCCCCCGCACAGGGAAGAATTTGTTCCTTGTGTCTAACCTAAGTTGCCCTCTTTCAATTTAAAACTGTTACCGCTCATCCTATCCCCAAACCCCCTGATAAAGAGGCCCTCCCCACCTTTCCAGTAGCCCCTTTAAGTACTGGAAGGCCACTATAAGGTCTCCCCAGAGCCTTCTCTTCTCCAGGCTGAACAGCCCCAACTCCATAGCGGCAGAGGCAGCAGGAGTGTTGTCACAGGCTGGGAGGATTCAAATTCTGGGCTCGGCACATGTTCTGCAACTTTCCAGGGCGTATTTTACAGCTCCCCTTGCTGCAAAGGCAGCAGCCTCTCCTGTTGCAAGCCCAGACCTCGCCTTGTCCCTTGCAAGCAGCCGGCAGTGCTCCATCTCACAGTCACAAGTGCCACTGCTGGACATAACGTCCCCTACAGCCTTGGTCCCCATCCGCCCCACGCTGAGGTCCCTTGACTGCTGGGAGCAGCACTGGTCACAGCCCCATGCCCCCGCACGCTCCCCAGTGCCAGAGCCCTCTTCTCCTCCCACCACATGAGCTTATTCCAGCTGAAGCCACAGCTGGGGTTGCTTCCCTCTGGGAAGCCGCAGCGTGCCAAACCCATTCCTGGCAACCATGCCTGGCAGCCACGGCCAACCGGCCACGCAGCTGGCCCCGGCTTGCAAAGCCCCAAAAAGCTGTTTTTTGTCTGGTTACACCCTGCAACAGGACATGAGCACTGGGATTTGGAGCCTGGAAACTCCGGCTGCAACTGCAAGGCTTTCACCCCAAAGCCTATCAGGTTCCCAGCTCAGTGAGGATATTTAAACTTGCAGAGGAGGAAATCTCTTGGCCTGTCCTCACCATCGCTCCCTGTAGATTTTGCCAAGTCGTTTCACATTCGCAAGCTTTTGGAATCAGTTTTGCTGACTCTTTTTTTCCATTTTCTTCCCCCCTCCTTTTCATTTTGCGGCTCTCCCTTGGTGTCATCTGCCGCTCGCCTTTCACAAGGAGGTAACTAATCTCTTTGTCTCCACTTCAATTTCTTTTCCTTCCCTTTTTTCCCTTGACAATGCAAAATATGGTCTTAAAAAATGCCGAAAGTTGCAGTTGCTCTCCCCCAGTTCCTCTGGTCACGCACGCTCACAGCGAGTCCTGGATTTGCGCGCCTGGGTCGGGCTGTGGCTCACGGTGACCCCCCGCTACCCGGCTGCTCCCCACGCTGCGGGGGGTGACTGGGCCGGGCCGGGCACCAGCAGGATTTGTGCACTGTCCCCGAGTAGGCGCAGGGTTTGGGTGCCAGCAAGGATTTCGCCCTCTTCACTGCGGTGCACGCCGGGCTCACCACGCTCTGCTCTTTTCCAGCGAGGAGGACATCATCATCGAGGAATTCGCTCGCCAGAAACTCACGGGAGAGAAAGACGACGAAGACGAGGAGGCCAACAAAGAGGAAAGCTGACCCGCTGCCCGCTCGGCCACTGGTCCCACGCGCCCCGGTTCGGGACGCAGGCGTTCCCCGCTGCCCCGATGTGTTCTCCCCGGTGCACCCTCCTCCCCCGCACCCACCCCGAGCCCCGGTTTGTGGCGGCGGGAGCTGCTGCCTCTCATCCCGGTACCAACCACGCTGGGAGGCCCCACTGCGCCCGGGGCGGTCGCTCCCACCTCCCCGCACCCATGGGTGCCGGGCAGGGGTGCGGGGGGGGGTGGGAGCGCCGTCACCCGCCTGCTTGTCGCGTACGCGCTACCCTGTGACACCGTGAGAAATAAACCCGCCTCGTTGGCCCCGGTGCGGGCTTCGTGTCGTGGCGGCGGGAGAGCCCGGGGGCGGGCGGCGGGGGGGCGAGGCGCGGCGGAACCGCCCCGCCCCCCCCCCAAAAAAGGCGGCCGGCCCGGTGCCGCGGTACCGGGGGGGGGGGGGGGCGGGGCGGGGCGAGACGGGGCGGGGCGACGCGACGCGACGTGACCTGACGCGTCGGTGACGGCGGCGGAAGTGACGCGCTGAGCGGCCGCGGGCGGGGCGGTGGCGGTGCCGGTGTCTCCTGCTCCCCTTCAGTCACGGCTCCGGCTCGGCCTCCCCGCGCCGCTATGTCCGCCCCCGGCAGCGGCGGCGAGTTCGGGAACCCGCTGAGGAAGTTCAAGCTCGTCTTTCTGGGCGAGCAGAGCGGTGAGCGGGGCGGGGCGGGGGGTGCGGGGCCCTCACGGGCCTGCCGCTGCGAGTTGGGGGGGGGGGGCGGAAAGCGCGAAAGGCTCCGGGGGGCGCGGGCGAGGATCCGTGGAGGGTCTGGCGGCGGCGGCGGAGCCGGAGCCCCGTGAAGGGCGTTTCGCAGCGCGGGGCCTCGGCCGGCGGGAGGCGCGGGCCTGGCGAGGGCCCTGCTCCCCGTTACGGCCGCTCTGCGGGCCCGGGCCGCGCCTGCGGGGCTCGGCGGGGCCTTGCTGGCGGCCGCGGGAAACGCGGCGGCTCCGAGGCCGGCGCTCCGCTTCGCCCCGCGTGGTGTGCCCCTGGCCGGGTCCCTGCCGGGCGCGGCACGTACCGGAGGGGGGCAATCAACGGCAGAGCAGCGCTGTTTGTGTGTAGCGTGGCTGCTGCCTCGCTTACATCTTCGTCTTTTTTGTTTTGCCCGAACTTGACTCCCTTTTCTATCACTTCCCTCATAATAAACGGATGAATTGCATCCTTCTCTTGAAATTGTAGTGTTCTCTGCTGTATTACTCGCTTTAGATCTCCTACTGCTTACCTCCTTAGACCCAGAGCTGCAGGTCTTGGAGGAATTTCCAGAAGTTGTCTAATTCTCCTGCCTTACTCAGGCGGAATCGACACTGCTGCTGAGGGACATTTGTCTAACCTGGTTTTAACCCTCTCCAGCGTTTACAATTTCACAGCCTTTCTGGGCAATTTATTTCTTTTCGTTCTTCCATCCGTATCCTTTGCATTTTTCTGGGCTTCCTCCAGCTTCCTGAGAGATAATCGAAGCTATTACCTTTGGTTCCTGTTTCTTGTCAGTTCTGCGCTTTGTGTCTTGATAATATTTGGACATGCAAATTTGAAGTTTTTAAGCAAGCCACCAAAACTTGCTCTGTGTCTAAAATCTTGTTATGACAAAATGATGTAAATATTGAAAGTTGCTTTTCTATCCAGCCAGAGGCAGCTAAACAGTGTCCAGGACATCACCATGTCTTGTTTTGATGTTTATGCCTGTAAGCTCTAGACTTGGTGATTACATAAGTAGCAAAATATGAGTAACAAAGTAGATTTATTGCTTGCTTAAAACAAACCATTCTTTGTCATATGTATCACAACTTACCTAGTTTGAGGACCGAGTTTTCATCATGTTAATTTTTGACCTACTGAGTTTGATTTGATTTTTATCATTTTGTGAATGAATTTCTTAGCTGGTTATTTCACAGGAGGGTGTAACTGGGAAATAGCCTGAGAATGGCAGCTTCATTCTGATGATCTGCTCTTCCACTCTGCCACTCCCAGAGCAGTGGGTTTTTTCCACTGTTGCTTGAAAGTAAATTTCCTCTTCTTTTGTAGTTGGGAAGACCTCTCTGATCACCAGGTTTATGTATGACAGTTTTGACAATACTTATCAGGTATGTGGTGGTCATTTTTTTTTTTTTTTATTATATATATGGGTAAATTTATTCCCTGCTATTAAAATGTATGCCTGTGAGAACTGTTAGGGCCAAGTGCATTTGTCCATGAGATGTCTGTTCAATATTGTATGTAAGATCATAATGTGCCTTGAAACGGAGATGAGACTTCATGATTAAGCCCAAGCATCTAGTATGATGTCAGGAAATACAGTGTACACAAAAGAAGCAAGGTTTATATCCTATCTGGATATGTGAGAAGCCTTGGGGAAAACAGGGAAAAACATTGGTTTATGGGGTGGGCTAACAGAAGATGGTCAGGAATGTGTAAGTCTCAGGATACAGAATGAAAAAGATGGACATGCTTATGATAGTTAGTCTGTAGCATTTTCGAAGGCTTTCCATTTAAGTAGAAATAGTTGAGTCTGGAGTGTATAGATAGATCTGCAAGAAGTCAGCATGGTATATTCTCTCTCAATTTTTTTTATTATTACTATTTTTTTAACTAAAATTCTATAGATGGAAAAAGCAGTGGAAGTGTTGGCAGGGAAAGAATAGAGTAGGAATGAAGAGGCTGCGGATGAAAAACTGAAGATGTGTAAGAGGCCTGTAGATTTCAGGAAAAGTTAGTTTCATCAAAAACACTTAGTGGTATTTCAAGGGAATACCAAATACCTTTAAAGAAGATGAGACTAGGGTGCTATCTTTTCATTCAGGCCAGAAAGAGTAACTGATTCAGATTGGGGTAATTTTAAGTTGGAAAAGGAAGAGAAGATTCTTTTCTTGAGGATAAGTCATTCACTGGAATTGCATCCTCCTGTGCTCTCTGTGTTTCTTTTCCTGACTCTTGTAGGGTGCTCTTATAGTTTAATCTGCTTACTGTAGTTATAAACTGCATCCTGGCTGCATAAAGAATAGGACTCCCAGAAATAGGTACTCACTACAGGAATTGACTGTTGTGGTCTCTTCTGATAGTAAGTGGTTCACGTTCTGATGGAGACCTGCCAGAACATGTTATGCTGCCTGTGTTTGTTAAGACTGGAGATAATTTGTCTAAAATACTAAAATGTGCTACATCAGTAACCTGTCTCCTGTTCCCAGGGGTTATGATAGGCTAGGACATTTGCTTCATTTAAGTGTCTGGGAGCACATCTAACTTAGTAAATTACTTTAAATGTCATTGTACCGGAATTGCTGCACAGCGATGGAAACGTGAATGGAAGGAGACTTACAGAAAGAGCTGCTTGGGAAATGAAGCTTCTGAATGTTACTGGACAGGAAGCGTATTCTGAAATAGAAAGCCCTGAATAAACATCACTTTTTAGCTTTCAGCTCAGTTGCCCATGATTTGCTCTACCTTTTGGTTATTTCTAATAAGATAATTCTTACCAGACTGAATTATGGTAAACCAGAAAGGGGTGTCAGTTCAGATATGATCTGTGTTAAGATGCATGAATGTCTGAGGCTAAAATGGAGACTGATAGGTTCTTGTGCCATTCTAAAGTATTGGAAGAATGATGTGAAATGAAGATGATGCAAATACCCAGATTACTTTTTTTTTTTTATCAGCTATATTGGAGGCAAATTACTTCAACAGCTTAGTTATAAGTTTGTGAATATTTCTGAGAGCTTGTGTAGGAAGATCTGATTTGCTGATGCTGGAAGGCAAGTTGCAGTTACTGATGCTTTTCTTCTTTTCAGGCGACCATTGGAATTGATTTCCTGTCAAAAACAATGTATCTTGAAGATCGCACGGTAAGTGAGGCATCTGTGTGATAGCATGGCAACGGCAGTCATGGGAGCAGCAGTTGTGCATGATGTTTCGCCTGGCTGTTCCTCCAGTGGCTGCTGAAATCCCACAGCAGCCTTCAGAGGGACTTCCTTTGTTGAGACAAATCACTGACCCACTCTCCTGTTTCTGATACTTGTTAATATCTGATACCTCTAGAATGAAGTCAAAATTTTTTATGTGAAATTGGGGCAAGCTAATGTCCATATCCCGGGGAAGAGGCTGGCTGTTCTATGTATCTTAGGCGTAGTTTGCTCCCAGAATTTGCAGTTCTGCCTCTGAGATTGTCTGAGCAGACCCCAGGCAGTTGCAAGTCTTGAAGTCATGCACTATTACTAGTGGTGGCATAGTTCCTCCTTGTAGAAAGGCTCCTTTTGTAGAACACTTCTGAAATACTGTTAATAATGCAATTTTGGATTTAGCTTGCATTAGATTCCTTCTTGCATAAAGAGATTCCTCGCATCTCTCTCCTGTCTTTCAGTATTTGTCTTTTCATTAGTTCATGTTTTGTTAGTACTTGCCTGTTTGCTAGTTTTACTACTGGCTGAGAAGTGTGAAACTGTTGTGGGGGAGTAAAGGGCCAGTGGTGCAGTCAAAGTCCTTTGTGTTGCTTTGGGTCTGTTGCATCTGAAGACGTCTCAGCCCAGTGTGTGTGGTAAGTTTCCTGAGTGCTTCTATGCCATCTTACCAGTGATTCACTATTAGAAAAGACTTTATTTAATCTTTGTATGAGAGAAACTGCTTGGATAACATTCTTCAATGGTACTGGCAGTGGCAGAAGAACTAAAATATTTTGAGAATACTGCTTGACCCCTGTGAAGGCAAGTTGGAATGCCTGTATGCTCTTTTCAGCAGTGTAGTCTTGATTTCTTGTGCTTTTGTAGGTCAGGATGTCATTTGCCTGCTGGGCCACTATCCAGAAAATATGATTTTCTTTCCAATGTTGGATATACTGTTAGCTTTCCTGATTATGTAAGTGGTCCACAGAACCCATAAAGCCTGTTTAAATATCAGAGAGGTGTTGAATGTAGATAAGAGAAGGGAGAAATACAAGCACACAAGCTAGGAAAACTCAGATGTTGAAATAATTTCTCAGA